ATTCTTCCATTGATAACTTTTTCTCCTTACTTTGCAAATTATTAAATTTTGGGGGTAATAAGGTTTATAGGCTTGATTTCCTTGATTGTTGGAGCTTCCCACTGGGTTCACAACATTGCTTCCCCATTGTGGATTTGAAGTATTCAAGTTATTATTACTCCAACTAAAGTTTGGATGATTCTTCCATCCAAAATTATAATAATTGGCATAAGGATTATTAGAACGATTGTTTATTGCATTTAAAGTCCATAAGAAGATTGAGATTCTATCATTTGTCCCAATGAGTTCTCCTCAAGCATAGGCGTTGTTTGAGAATAATTCATTCCATGTTAATTTATCTTCTTTCATATAACAACTATTTGAGCAGCTAATATAAATATTGCATCAGAATCATGAACAATGGCTACTCTTTTTGAATTTACTAGTTCTAGGGGCCATTGAAAATTATTAGTAGCCATCTCTTTAATTAATGAATATGCTTCATCAAATAATTTTGACATTAATGATCCACCAGCAGCAACTTCAATTATCGATCTAAGAAATCCAACCAATCCATTATAAAAAGTTTAAATTATTAATCAATCTGGCAACGCATGGTGTGGACACTTCCTAAGGAGATCTTTAAATCTTTCCCAGGCTTCATAAATTGACTCCCCTTCAAACTGATAAAAAAATGTAATATCATTTCTAAGCTTAGCATTTTTTAAGATAAAAAATATTTAGATAAGAATTTTTTTGACAAATCTCCCCAATTTCTGAAAAAAAGAAAAAATTATAAGTCTGACAACATCATTCGACACTCCATTATATTGAAATGTAGCACATAATTCTAGAAAACTAGCAAGGTGTAAATTTGGATCTTCATTTGTTATTCCTCCAAACTGATTGTTTTGTACCATTTGGATAATAACAAGTTTAAGCTCAAATGAATTGGCAGTTACAGCAGAGTTTTGTATACTCAAATGAATTTCATCAGCTGTAGGATTAGCATGATCCCTTAAAGGTCTCTGATGATGTTCATTTTCATTTCTAGCATTACTTGAGTTGCAAGTCATTTTGTTAGAATGATTTTTCTTTTTTTGTTGTTTTTGAATTTTTCTAACAATTCTTTCTATTTCAGAATCGTAAGGTATTAGGTTTTCAGATCTTATACTATTCATAAACAAAATAAAACAAGTAATTAAAAATAAGCAATACACTTAACAAAGAAAATGTTCAAACTAAACTCAAAACACTTTTTTTATATATATTTTTTAGAAAAAATAAAATAACTAATATTTTTCGTTACTTCCTCGACAACGACGCCAAAAACTTGATACGGCGGGAATTTATTAAGCTTAATATAATGATATAATGTAACCCAAACTATAATATAAAGTTGATGAAAATAATTTATCTTTAAAAATCTCCTTAAAATCCTAATTCCCGTTTACATACTACGCAAGTATACATATCGCTCAAGTAATATAGGGCTCTAAGGGAGTTCTAGATATCGATCCCACAATGAAGCTGGAAATAAATATAAGTTAGTTATTTATTTTCTATTATTTATATATTCTATTATAAACTAAAAAAAAGAACAAAGTAAAGTACAAAGTTTGAAGTTAAACCACTTAAGTGAAATGCTACTAATTATGAAGATGTACGACTATAACAAGTAAATTAAACTAAATGCTAAACTTTCAGAAGTAAATTGCTGAAATAAAATAAAGGTTTTTGTGACGAAAAGTTCAAGTATGAGAAAACATCATTCCCCTTTATAATGAAAATATGACTTGTAAGGAAATTGAAAGCATTTGTAAAATATATTTAAAAATTATTTTGTGTCAAATAAAAGCAATTTTATTCTCTACCCTCTTCCGAGCGCTATAAAGAACATTGACTAATCTATAGTTTGGTCTCTAATTCTATGATTAGGCTGGGAGGATATCGGCTGTCACTTCAGAGCTCCCACTACTCCCTCTCGTAAGGGCAATAGTTTTTAATTAATTGAACCAAATTGGAGATTCTAATCTATCACCTTAAAATCTTCTAATTCTACATTCATCAAAGTATATTTCCTTACTTATTTTCACACAATCCCATGAATGAAATATTCTCCCATGAAATCAAATGTGATTCTCCCTTTGTTGTAGAAATCATGTCCCCTTTTGAGAACATATAATTCTCAACACATTTTAACAATTCAATTGGCCAGATTGAAAAGTAAATGAAGATCAGAGTTCAAATCATCACAAATTATTGACATTTAAAACCATAAAAAACAAAATCAATTCTTCGCGAAACCATTTCTTCAAAGTAGGGATAAGGATAAAGAAGACTACTCAGAAGGATAAAGAAGACTACTCAGAATTCATGAGAAGTATACGATAAAACACGGATTTTATCTAAGAAAACAAGTTTACAAACAAAAGAAATAAGAAAAATACAACTTATCTCACAATCCTTCCCAAGAAAATCCCTAGAAGTTCTTTCTAAGCCTTTCTCTCTTTACAATCTCTCCCAATTCTCTCTTAGAAGTGTAATTAAAAAGAAATCTCTCACTTTTCCTCTCCTCTTAGAACCCTAGAAGAAAATCTCCTCTCCAAGAGACACCTCCAACACTCTCCAACTAACCCTTTTGATCCTTCTTTAATCTACTCAGTGATTCTCCTCTTGTCCTCTTGCAAAAATCCATCCAAATACATAATATGGAGAAAAAAATTACAGAATTCAAAAGTCAAAACTTTGAATTTCAAAAGATGTGCCTCCTTGATTCAAGAGTTAAATCCCTTCAAATTGGAACCTTCCAAAGTATTCACATGCATTGAATCACTCCATGGGGTGCTTAAGAACAAGTGTCCCTTTGAAAATTCGCGCAAAAATTCCTCTCGAACCGCCTTAATTTGAAAAAGTCGTGTCTGGCGCATCATGTGCCAAAATTGGATGTTTTTGTTTCAAATTTCTTTTTTTTTCATTTTTTCTCCAAATGCCTAAAAATGAAATACCTGCGACAAAAACACAAAAATACCCTTCTTTAAAGTGCAATATCACTAAAAATAGACATAAAAGGGTACTTAAAATGATATATTAACATTATCGAGCAGAAGGTTGCTAGTCATCCCTAAGCCTCCATCTGTCATCTATTAGGGCCCCCCTCTTCACACAACTGGTGTTTGCTTCTGTCATGGATGACGTAGGGGTAGAGTTATACTCTTCAGCTAAAATGTGATTGTTAGCCAACTCCAATAATTTAACATGGTTTTTTAGCCTCTAGAGACCAAAAGCGTAGTAGAATGGTCCCTCCTTCATCCCTTGAGTTGGGGAGGTGTGTTCTATTACGAGCTCCAAATCTTGCACATCTTGCATTTTTTTATGGAATCAAGTGACAAAAGAGAAGGGGCTCTCGCTTTTTCATAGCCTGATCTGCAACATGGCATGGGAACTCTTCTGTAGGTTATGAGCACGGCTGAGCTGTACATTGAACATCTTCTTGTAATTAGCAAATGAGGTTATTACTCCAGCCAGCAGTCATTGAACCACTTGAGGGTCGACTCCCTCAATATGGTGAAAAAAGGCAAAATTTCAGAGAATCAGTGATCCTCAATGCTCGATGATTGACACAAAGGAGGCAATATGCTTAGTCGAACCAGTCTAACCTTTGTACAATATAAGAGACGGTTTCTTGAACTTTTCGGGGGTTTTAATCGCTAAAATCTCTCGAATAAACACATTCTCCAGCTAGTGGAGGGCCTTAATATGTATGAATTGTTGGTTGTTCATTAACACCAACCTTACATTATCCTTATACTTGGAGTCTTTTGATCTTTCTTCAGGCATGTATGCCCTCCGATCGTTGGACGCCAGCTTCTCTTGGGGATTTTATTCCCTTCTCCCCACTACTGCTTCTTGGATGGCCTCTAAAATTTAGCCCATCATCTTGTCCTTCAACTCCTAGATGTGTTGCTGCACAAACTATCAAGTGCATTTTATGTTCATTATCTCTTTGGTGGGTTTCTTCTCTGTTTTGTGCTCCTCTCTTATTGCTTATATGATTTACACTTACAACAACTTCTAAAATATTAAATCTAATTTGTCTTGTGAATCACACCCAAAAAATAAAACATAAAATATAAAAGAGACAGAGAAAAGAAGAGGGGGGGGGGGTGGGGGGGCACATTAAAGAACGAGTTTTTTGATAACTGGTTGATTAATCCCTTACTGTAGAAATGACCCTCTTATTTATAGACAATGGGTATAAAGAGTATAATTGCATGCTTGCCCTTGATTGTACGGGGCATTACATGATATTTTATTATTGGATTTGTAAGGCTTGTTCAGTCATTTGTATTGAGTTGGCGACGAGCGGCGGGCGAGCGGGCGACGAGCGGCGGGTGAGCGGGTGACAGCGACATGCAGCGAGCGGGCGAGAGCGACGGGCAGCGATAACTTGCTTATAACATTTTACTGAATGATGTAATTCAAATTCGACCAAATCGACCAAATCGACCAAATCGACCAAATTCTAAATTCAACAAAAATAGACTACGATGTAAACTTTAAATTTTATCAAACACAAAATATTCTCAAATCCCATACAAAAAGTACAGTACCACTTATTAACCCAACCAAAGGGCCCTTAGCTAATGATTGCTCTAATTTCTTAAAAGTTTGTTATATTCAAAATTTAAATAAAATAGATGACATTTCCAGAAATTTCTTCTAAATTAGAGTTTCATTGACATAACAAAAAATATCGCATCCTATAAATATAAATTGAAATGTCTACCGTCGATTATTATATTTTATTTTTGGGATAATTTTATGCACATAAATTGAAGAATCCCGAGATCTTGGATGACCGCTAAAACTTTAGAAACAGGAAACCATCGTTTACATTATTTCTTAACATGCTAAGCACCTAAATCGCCGCCGTCAAAATATCCTAAACCCGCTCGCCGACTGATTTGACTGGCTGCTCCGGTATGGCCCAGGATTAGCTAATCTATCCGGGCAAGCCAACGGACCACTGCCCGTCGACTATACTTCCGCCCAACGAATCACGATGACTGAGGGGACCTGCTAAGGATAGAACCAGAAGAGTTGTCTACCTTCCCCGCTAATATCCTATGGCATCGGCTATAAATACCGTTGTTCTTGCCTTGTTTCTCTTTTTCTCCTTCCTTCTCCTCTTAAGCCTACCGAGCCGCTTCCCAGCTAGATCCCCGGAGCAGTTCGATCCCGCCCGTTGCTTGGCTTTCAAGATATCACTGTTGGTCCTCTCTCTCTCTCTCTCTTTCTGTGTAAGCATGCCCTCGTTATCTTCTCAGCGTTTCTGAACTGTATCGCTCTCTCCCGCCTTTGCGCACCCGGGCATTTAGGTCCTCTATCCCTAATTCTAATTTTAGATCTAATATGCATGCTGTCTACGGCTGGAATCCAGATTTTTGTAGCGTTTATCATAGGATGCTTCGTAGAGGAAAAAACCTAATGATGATGAGGGAATATCGATATATTTGGATTTGATTATTTAATATCTGTCGTTTGATGCAGATCGGGAGAAAGGTGAGGAGAAGGGGGCAACATGGACGGGATCATGGGGATTCGGAAGGTGGCGTCTCACTGCTCGTTGGTGGATGGGGACGATCTTGACCTCGCACGGCTGCTTGATAAGCCAAAGCTGAACATTGAGCGCCAAAGATCCTTTGACGATAGGTCCCTCAGCGAGCTCTCCATTAACATCCGAGCGGTGGATGCCTTTGACAGCATGTACTCACCCGGCGGAATAAGGTCTGGCTTCGATACCCCTGCATCTTCGGCGAGGAACTCTTTCGAGCCACATCCAATGGTTGCTGAGGCCTGGGAGGCTCTTCGGCGTTCGCTGGTGTACTTTCGCGGCCAACCGGTGGGGACAATTGCTGCTGTGGATCATGCTTCCGAAGAGGTTCTAAATTATGATCAGGTATTCTAGCCCGAATAAGTTTTCTTCTTTGAGAAAGCATGAATTGATAAGAGATCGCAAATTTCCAGGGTAAAGCGAAACTATTTTAAAATTAAACTATTTTATTGGGAATATCCAAATCCAGTTAATGTTTTGCTGAGCCCTTTCTTTGTTTGCCTGGCCTTTTTGACCGTTCTTTTTTTAATTGTCACTATTAGGTTGATCTGAGGAATTTATTGATTTTTTGTAGAATAGGACAAATGTGTATCAATTTGTTGCTATTTATTAACCGACTGATTAACTATACTAAACTAGCATTTAATATAAATAAATCTAATAAATCCTCTGAATTTTAGATTTAGTAGAACTAGAAGTAGTAACTCATGAAATTTATTGGCCTGACAACTTTTAAATCTCCTTAACTCGTAATAAACAGTTTAACTTATTAAATCAAAACTTGGGATTTCGGTGGGTATACTACTTGCATCATCTAAAAGTAGAGGCTGAATCCCTTAAATTCACAAATTCTGTTTTTGCATGTTTGAAAAAATTCTTCTTAATTTAAAAAATGGCAAAAAATTGAGATGTAACCAGCTCAAGGAAAATGTTCAGCGATTTACTTTAAATCTTTTTTTTTTTTTTTCAATTCGTACGTGAAAATACATATCAATAATTTTCTCTGGCTAACCTGCTAGTTATCAAGTCTAACGTGCTAGTTACCATCCATTTTTGTGCTAGCATGTATAGCAGAATTTTTATGTGCTGGTTAAGCTCATGCATACCGTACTCTATGGTTGAGCTAGAAGTCTGTGGATGAAGCTTTCTTTGTTGCTGTTAGCTGATATCTATTTTATTATTATTATTATTATTCTGACAAAATTATTCCAAAAACCGTTTCTATGTTAACCTGCTTTAGTAACTTAATTGCTTGTATTGATCCATCATTCACCACTAATTCAGGTGTTTGTCCGTGATTTTGTACCAAGTGCTTTAGCCTTTCTGATTAATGGTGAGCCAGAGATTGTAAAAAATTTTCTCCTTAAAACCCTTCTTCTTCAAGGGTGGGAAAAGAGGGTTGACCGTTTCAAGCTTGGAGAAGGTGTTATGCCAGCAAGCTTCAAGGTGCTCCATGATCCTCTTAGAAAAGTTGATACAATTATTGCAGATTTTGGTGAAAGTGCAATTGGAAGAGTAGCACCTGTTGATTCTGGATTTTGGTGGATAATTCTATTACGTGCCTATACAAAGTCAACTGGTGATTTATCTCTTGCCGAAACTCCTGAATGCCAAAAAGGAATGAGACTTATATTAGCATTATGCTTATCAGAGGGATTTGACACATTCCCTACTTTACTATGTGCAGATGGTTGTTCAATGATAGATAGAAGAATGGTAAGATATTCAACCCTTTATTTCTCTTTTGGACATACTTTTTATTTGATGCCATTTAAATGGTTTGTGGTCATTGATGAATAATAATTCTTGAATATGTGCAAGACATTTCTTTTTCCTAGTGCACTATTCTAGAGACTATTTGAAACTATGTAGTGCTCCATTTTTGAAGTAAGCACATTAAGTTTTACCTTTTTTTTTTATTTGGAGTTTACATGTGTGGAAGGACCCTTCATTTTTCTTTATGGCTGTTAGCTTGATATTTTTTGTCTTGCACAAATGATTTCCTTGCACTGGCTTTATGGAACTTTATTTTAAGGAGAAGATTGACATTTGACCCACCCACATCATGTACACATGCATTCAAATTCATGCATGACGTTGTCAGTAAGTTTATAACCGATCTTTGTCACCGTTCTCCATTTCATTACCTGTTTCCTTATTGGTGGAATTGACCCATATCACAATCCAATGAGTTTATTATAGATCTAATTGCTTTTTTGATGCATTGTTTTATTATTATCAGGAAAACTATGGCATATGGGAACTTTTTTTTTTCTTATTCCTTGAGGAGTTGATTCACTGCTCTCTCCATCCTCCCAGCGCCCCAGCCAGTCCCACCCTCCTTCCTGGTTGTTTAAGTGATTAGCTTTGGCCATCTTTTACTTTTATTAGATCTTTAATTTTTTTTTAAGATCAGAATGTTTCTTTTTGGTCATTTCCTAATGACATGAAATTAATTATATGGGAATTTAAATTCTAATATTTAATCTCTTCTGTCTGAGGGCTTGTTTAGAAGAGTTCTTCTAAACTTTTTGAGTTGATCTAATTCTCGCTCCAGTACGCTATTACTAATACACTAGTCTCATGCTCTTGCATTGCAAGGAATGGTAAAAAAATGTTATAAGAATAAATTATGTCCATCATTTTTGTTTGTTTCTGTTTTGTATAGAGTTTATGCTATAAACTTATTAACCTAAAGGAAATGTGAAAAGCTGGAAATTGACGAGGCAAAAAAAGAGAAAAAAATCGCTATTAGAACTAAAAAAAAACAAATACTGCGCCCAAAATCCGCAATCCTGGGCTCTCGTCAAGGTCTACAATTTATAGAAAGCAATTTGGGGTCTCGAAGTGTACAAAAATGCTATCGAATGAGTTGACATGTAATAAATGCAAGGGATGTGTAGCATTAATATTGGCTCAACTCTGGATTGTTAGTCAATTATAAAAGAGTTGTTAGATATCCTAAAAGTACGTACCGAGGTTTTTTCAGGCCTAGAGGATTGCTTAGAGTAGATCAATCCGATGAGCTTAATGTTAACCTTGGCTGAGTTCATCTTGAGCTTAGTGGATTTTCTCTCCAGTTAGTTTGTGTGTCTGCCTTATCTTGAGTGGGAAAGTGCCTCAAACATGGTCTATGAGTCCCATATAACCCCACTAGTGTGTTTGTTTAAAGTTTGATTGGTGAATCTAGCCTGAACTTGGCTTGACGAGCTTATCCTTATGTCCTCCTTTTGGGTGAATTCGCCTTTGAGGTATACAATTTTATGATCCATTCTTCCTTACCAAGGTGTTAATTGCCACCCTACATAGAAGTATCTTAAATTTAGAATTTTTTTTTTGGGTAAATTATAAATATTTATTTTGATAATTATGAGATGTTTGATACAAAGAGTTTCTACTAGAAGAAATTTTAATCATAGGGTCGTATGTTACGATGACTTGCTATAGTCATTTTACTTGATCCAGAAAGACATTTCTATTTTTACTTTCTATCTTGTCTATCTTGTGCATAGAACATTGGTGCTCTTAATGTCTTGTTGTAGATGCATAGATGATTAATTGAGAGGATGCCAAGTGTCATTTTGATATAAAAACAAATTTGATTGGGAAGATTATAAATGTCGAGTTTCCTTATCATTGAACGTTTAGATATAACTTTTTTTTTAAATATAGTATATGTATATTTTTTTAAATATAGTATATGACATATATACATACATACATATATATATATATATAGTATGATGAGCCTAGTTTGGATTGATCAATGTCAAGTGGATTTCACAGTATTTAGTGAACACGACTTGTTGATGTACTGAAGTAACTGATCATATTGAATGATTGGTGAATATGAGCTAGATTCCTTTTGTACGGTTGTATCATTGATTTTTTTTTTGCATGCATGGTTAAATTTTTAAACTAATAAGCAAAGCTATTTATATATTCATCTTTTGTGCTATCATTCCATGTTCAATTTTTAAACTTTTCACATGTGGAGCTTAAAACAATAAAATGTTTGAGATTGCTATACTATTGGAAATGAAGAAATCAACATAATAATAAAATATTTTTATTTTTTCTTAGATGGATTTTCCATCCCAGTTTTTTATTGTTTACAAAAACATATTAGATTTTTTGATTTGTTTATAACTTGAGATTTGATATTGTGTGTTAGTTGGTCGCTCTCATGAGGAACACCTATTCCAAATGAATGATTAGTCCTAGTCCATCATTTAGCGGGAATGTTGCTATTAGGATTTGCTCAACATGTGAACTCATGATTAATGCAACAATTTTGTGTTAGGCTTTGTGCAAATTGTATCTAACTTGCGATTTGATTGTGATAATCTGTGAGAACACCTATTTCAAATGAATGATTAGTCCTAGACCTCTATTTTGCAGGAAGGTGGCTATTAGGGTTTGCTCAACATATTAACTCATGATTAAGGCAACAATTGTGATTTAGGCTTTGTGCAATTTTTACTACGGCTCCTCTTGTGATGAACCTAAGCTACTTGGTTGACATTGGAAAGTAGAAATAGTGTAGATTTTTGTCCTCATATAGAGCACTTAAAGTGACTTCAGGTCCTCTATTTCTTTCGACCAACGAGGATCTATAGGCGTCTATGAACTTAGAATGACACTGTATTGAAAGAAAAATAATGAAAATATCAAATTTATAGTTATTCAAAATATAAATTCTCTGTGCTAAGATGAATATTTTGAAACATGAACTTAAGGATGTGCATTTGGTCGATCTGGATGAATTGTTTCTGTAAATTTTCAGTCCGAGTTAATCCAAAATCCATAATTCAAAAAAACATAAACTGCTCTTTTTGTTGGTCAAAATGAACTGTCCAAACCAAAATGTAATTAATTCTAAATGGATCCGTTGAAAATGAACTGAAAATCGAATAACATATGTGAAACATTAAATGCATCTGTTAAATATGAAAATCATAATCGAATAAAGAAAATGTCATTAGCTGAAGAAAATTGCTTGATTTTAAACTAACTCCATATTATGATATGAAAAGGAAAACCCTTAGTCCTTAAGAAGAGGAACTTAAACTAAAGGGAAATACCGAAAAAAATGAAAAACAACTTTCTTTTATCCACTCTCCAGTGCTACCATCATGTTCATAGTATGAACTATTAAGAAAGAAAAAATTAATGGCTACAAAATACCTTTGATTTTATTGAGAGAGTTGAATGATTTACCACCAATAATATCAATATAGAGATGGAACTGAAGGAAGAAATAGTTGGGCCAGGGCAAGAAAACTTGAAATTTTGAATGAGGAAACAGGGTACCTCATACTCAAAGCATATTATTCACATCCAAGTCGGCCAACGTGGCTTCTTATTTCACCATAGGTCACCTTGTACGAAATAGAAACTTGGAAATCTGGCATCTGGTTACTAGCGACTTTTTTTTTGAGAAGTAGAAGCGAGCAAATAGAAAATTATGGATTATAGAAACTGTGAAAGTCAAAAGCTCAAAACAAAAGTGTAAAGCCTAAAGTCTAGAGGAGAAAAAGGATAACAAGGTGATTCAGTTCTTGGATTACTCTATTTTACATATAAAAACACTAAACTGAAATCCGAAAACCAAATAGCTTAAATTTTAAAACCATTATCTGAAATCAATTTTCAAACTGAACCAAATAAACCAAATCAGTTTTGTTATGTTTGATTGTCCGATTTTATCCAAATAATGCATATCCTTAAATGAACTATTTATTTGTTTTATTTATTTTTTTCTTATATGTTCTGATTTTTGTAGAAGTATCTAAATGTATGACACTAAATATGACGCAATGGAGAAAAAGGAACCCCACGTAGTGGGATTAAGGCTTTGTTGTTGTTGTTGTTGTTGTATCTAAATGTTTGTGATCATGATTTAAACTTGACAATATGAATCCCACCTTACATTTTTATTTATATATCACAATGAGGCTTGCGCCTCATTTGGTTACTTCATGATACTTGCATTTCATATAATATAAGACCTGCCTCACCTCAGTTCTGGTCAGGCACAATTTAATCTAAATTTTCCTTAAAATAGGTATAAGTAAAATAGACCTAATAAATAGTCCTTATTGACCAATATAGTACACGACTGAAAATGCAATTGAAGTTATTATTTTCAATTGTCTTTTTTTTTAAATCTAATAATATTTTTTTTTATTAATTAATATTAGGAAGATGGTTGAAATTTAAGATGAGGAATAGAAAAATATGGATAAAATTTAGGATGAGATCAGAGAAAATAAATCATTATGTTGTATTTTGTTGGAGACTCATTAAGTGATAATAGTGATGAAAACTTTTATATTTAGAGTTTTAACCTTTATTAATGCTTAAATTTGCTCAATTTGGTGTTGAGGCATTTTTCATATATAAGACTAGGCGTAAGCCTTGAGGCAATTTTGGGTGTAAGCCTAACATTTTGAAAATTGTGTAAGTTAAATAAATGGATAAAATTTATATATTAGTATCATAATTTCTAGATTTATTAAAAAATACATATCAACATCCGAACATAATTACAAGTGAAATTGCATTTATATGTAATAACAATTTATGTACGTTACAAAATATCAAGTAAAAATTTGCACAAATAAAAATATAACATAAACAACAATTGATCAAACTAATGTAAAACATGAAATGAAAATAACATAAAATATCAAAATGAGAGTATAATAAGACTTAAATATGAGTTTAGCATAGTAGACTTCTCTCACACTATTATTTAAAATATTAAAATTTTCTCACACTTATTATTTAACATGATAACATCCATACATCTAAATAATTATAAAGTATATAATCAAATATTTTCATTATTTTTTTTTTCTACCTTTTCTTCAGTTCAGTCTAAGTTCTCTCATTCTTTTTTCTCTTTTTCAACCTCGGCTCTACCTTTTCTTCAGTTCAGTCTAAGTTCTTGTTGACCTCATTTTTGGTGAGGTCTTAGTCTCGTCATCTTTCTTATCTCTTGTTGTCTAGTGTTGGACGTTGTAATCTTATTCTAATCTCCATCAAAGAAATCAACACTAAGATCTTCTTGTTATAATATAGGTGGTGTAACTTCAATTCCATCATCTATAAAAATTCATTTGATTGCATATCTTCACATAGTAGAGAATTCTCATCATTCTTCAAATTTTTATTCTTCAAAATTTTATTCTTTGATCTCTTATTGTACATGCTATATACCAAGGAATTTAGTTTTAAAGTTGTCATACAGTTCTTTTTTCTTGTGTAAACTTGTTTATATGCGCTCCATTGCACTCGCATCTAGTGATGAGCATGTAAGTCTTAGTACTTGAACAACAATACATTGTAGCTCTGGTGACCATTACTAAACTGGATCTACTAATAAACTATATTTGAAGAAAATTTAATATTTAGATACTTAATCCTTATTTTAATGAATACATTAAATATTAAAAATTCTTTGAAGAATATTTTCTTTGTTGTATTTGAAATAAACTGTCCTCATTTATAAATAGAATAAATTGCATATTAGCAGTTGCTTTTGCAATTGGGCCAAGAATCAATTTATCCTTATAATGATGTAATCCCAACTTGATCTCAGGATTGGAGAACTTGTTATCAACATATTAAAGTTAAGGGTTTAGGAAAAATCCAGCAGTATATACATGTTGATGGAGATAAAGCTTCCATTTTTCTTCAATGATATCTCAGATCTCCTTATAATTGGCTTCCTCTTCCTAGGTTATGGGCTATTAACTCTTTAACCACTTCCATTGTATTATAAATAAAACTGATAGATGAGTTTATCTTTGATCCATTATTCTCAAAATCTGAACTAAGGACAGAGTGGTTATTATTATATATGTGATATTACACCAAAATCCTTTATTTGAATTATATATTTTCTTAACTTCTTTTTTGCAATTCTTTTTTTTATTTTCTATTTTTTTGCCCATGCACAACTAAGCTAATTAGTGAATGTGAACATTGTCTTCAATGGTTGCCTTGCTTCCAACATATTTTGTAGAGCCAAAAATGTTAAGGTAAATCTTGTTCTAGTAGGGCTTAGGAGTTCTTTCTTTGTAATTTTCTTCATTAAAAATAATAACAAAAAATGGTTGTAAATGAATTTACTAATTTCTTTTTTCTTTGGTAGGGCTTTTTATAATAAGACAATTTACAAATTTTCTCAAATATCAAGTTTATGAAGTGTGCAGCATAAGGTGTTCAATATAGATATTTTTGCTGCTTCTTCATCAACATAATGTTGTTGTTGCTGCTGTTTTTTCATTCTTAATTTTAGGACTAACATGGTCATGAAGGTTCCTAATTGAGAAGATCAATTTGCGTCAACATACCCATAATATTTTTCATTATAAATTCTTTCAGGATAACGGCATTTAAAACTCCACCAGACTGAATTAGAGTTTCCATAATTAATCATGATAAGTGATTCACCATTTGGATTTTTTGTTAAGAGGTTGTTTATATATATGATGCGTATATCATATTTGTGTGGTTTGTTTGTTTCTAGGTGAAAACTTGGCATAGTTTAGTAAATAGAAACTTAAATTAAATGTAAATTTGATTTTTCTTTTTTCTTTTTTTTTTCTTTTTAGGAATTTAGCACAACACTAGAAACAATAGATGCGCATTATAATAGTTGCATTCTTATGATAGTTTTTTGCATCTTCTATGAGTTATATGTATAATTTGTATAAGAAATTCTTTTGCAAGTTACTGTTAGCCTGTGAGAATTACAAGCCTGCTAATGATATCAAGAAGTGATTTATGAAATTCAAATGGTAATAAGATAAAAGTTTGTTTTAACCCTAAAAGTTTTCTGCAATAATTCGTACAGAGTTACTCGTAAGATGAAAAATATTGATAAAATTGCACTAGAAATTGGATGAATACTTACGAGGTAACGATCTCATAAACTTTTGATATTTTAGTTATTTTTGAATGTATATGATTTATATTTATGTCATGAACCATCAATTAATATCTACATTTTTCTCTTTCCACATTTTTGTTTGGAATTCATGTCCGACACATCAATTCCACTATTCCACAATTTCGAGATAACGACAGACTTCTGCCATAAGCAATAAGGGTATCTTTAAAGTTGGTGAAAAACTTTTGCTTGTGGTTGTTCATGGATTTTTATCGTAGTACGGCAGTTGTGCCCAAATTTATTTTATTAATATCAATTGAACAGTGCATCAAAGCCAAAATTTTTGCAGTTAAGCATAACTGATACAAATCTTAAAGTCGCAATAAATATAAATTATGTTGAGGAACAACCAAAAATATGAAGTTTTATTTTTTTTTTAATTATTTATTTTTTTTAATGAGTTTTGATTTTAGCAAACTTATATAAGCACAGACTTAAATGTTTCTCAAACTTGATTTGTATGTGTATCGTTAATCTTGCACCTTTCTAAAATTTCCCATTTTCTTTTTCACCTAGTTATCTTAGATTCTCCATTTGATAGCTTCTTCATGTTTACTTAGTGGCTTCTCAGTGGTTTCTTTTATGGTCCTCGTGTGGTTCTTGCCGTTACCTTCTCTAATTATTGTTTGGTGGATCCTCCATGGAGATTTTTCTTTTGATTTCTGCAATTAGCCTTTTTTTTCCAATGTTTTATGGTTGCTTTTCTATGGCTTTACTGTAACAATATTCTTGTGATATTTTTAGCCTTATTACATGATTGAGATCTCATGTTTATTAGCAATAGGAGCATGCAATAACTTTAGGTCAATTGGTGGATAAGGATTCTAATTTCCAAGTAGGATTTTGTAATTTTAAATAAGGCCGAAGGGATGTACAAAATTCATTCAATTGGTATTGAAATTTAATTCTGATTGGATGTGCTATTCCAACTATTTTTCCGTAGTAAACTTATTATTTATATGAAAACCTTGAAGGTTTTCAGGTGTGGTTATTCCCTTTTATAACTTTGAGGCTTGTTTCTTTCTTTTGATTAATTATTTTCTTCTACTTTTTCCATTTGTTATTGATTTTTTTTACTAAGTTGTGTGGCTGATTTTGCTCAAATTCGATTTATCTAATTTGTTTATAGGAATACGTGCATTTGAAGTAGATGTGTAGCTTTCTTGGTTCTAAATGCTTATTGATTTTTTTCTAGTACACCATTTGATTATCGTTTGAATGATTTGATTCATATTGTTTGTATTAATCGCAAGTAGAATAATTGTTAATATTCATGGAAATGTAGCTTGTGATATCTTTTTCCTTTTATATTTTTTTTGCATCCCATAATATATCTCTACATGAAATTTTTTACCATAAGATGTTCTAAATGAAGAAGTTTTGTTGAATGACATTGGAGATTTTTATCACGGAAGATGCTACAGTTTTTTTCCTCTAGTTATAGAGAAGCTACTTCAAGGGAAAAATAAAGAATGTTTAAGCTTGGTGGGCTTAGATTTCTAGTTCTTCCATGGTTTTTATATTAGTTTCCCTAAACAATGACCAAGTCAGTTTGGTCATTGGGAAATGCTTAACCTGCTAATTCATGAATACTCTTTTTTCAAGGTGATGCATGTTAGATAGCACTTGTATCCTTTGAATGTTTCCTTTTTGTTTTCACATAATTTAATTGAAGTATTTCGAAAATGATACCTGCATTTTTGTCCAATAGAGCCAGGATCCCCTTTTGAGATAATTTTTTGGCATTTTAGAGGAAGCAGCCAAATTATGGCTGTAACTGCTGGATGGTTTTATTTATTGTGTTCAACTCAAATGATTTTCTAAATTGACGGTTAGGTTATGCAACAATTCAATTTTTGTTGATTCTGTTTCAGAACTTCTAAATCATCATTCTGAAGAAATAAATGAATATATGATTAGATCTAAAAGTATCATTTGGTAGTTCCTGTCAACTGCTAGCATGGTACATGTCTTAAACTTTTCTGGGCTTGCTGGCATTGTTCTTCTTGGAGCAATATAATGGAATACTGATGATTAACTGTAGCCTTTCATTTTTCCGAAGTAGATTTGCTTAGCCATATAATTTAGCATATTCAAACCTACTTTCTTGGCGTCCGTACCTAACAAGGGTGCTAGTATCATTATGGATTGCATGCCACCTAGGGTTTACATTGTCTATTAAAATAATACATTGACCTTTACAAAGGTGTATATCACCTTGGTTTCCATTTAATGTCCTTAATGCGTTTCAAGTTGAAACTGAAAAATATCAACCATTATCTTTATATTCCTTCAACCTAAGCTGCAATTTGATGATCCGCCATTGCATTTTCGTAATGATAACTATTTACTATGAATTTATGTGTAATCGCTGGTGTTACATATTATAAATTAATATCTCTAGATTCTAAACTTTCTTCTAAATTACTTTATTTAAATTGATCACTAGGCTGATGCTTTTATTTGATACATATATTAAAGTTCTGATTAATTTTACACCGTTGTTTTGGTGCATATTTATTTCTTAGGGCATTTATGGGTATCCGATTGAGATTCAGGCCCTTTTTTTTATGGCTTTAAGGTGTGCTTTGGCAATGCTGAAACATGATGCAGAAGGAAAAGAATTTATTGAGCGAATAGTGAAACGTCTGCATGCTTTAAGTTATCACATGAGGAACTACTTTTGGCTTGATTTCCAAAAGCTAAATGTCATTTATCGCTATAAAACGGAGGAGTATTCTCACACAGCAGTCAACAAATTTAATGTTATCCCTGACTCGATTCCAGAATGGGTTTTTGATTTTATGCCTACACGTGGTGGTTACTTCATTGGAAATGTCAGTCCTGCAAGGATGGACTTCAGATGGTTTGCTTTGGGTAATTGTTTTGCCATTTTATCATCACTTGCTACTCCTGAACAGTCTATGGCTATAATGGACCTGATTGAAGCACGCTGGGATGAGTTAGTTGGAGAGATGCCTCTAAAAATAGCTTATCCTGCCATTGAGGGCCATGAATGGAGGATTGTGACAGGTTGTGATCCCAAGAATACCAGATGGAGTTACCACAATGGAGGTTCTTGGCCAGGTTAGAAAATTACGGTCACTTGATTTTGGAATATTATACATACATACATACATCTATACATCCATACATCCATACATCCATACATCCATCCATCCATCCATGTATGTATGTATGTATGTATATATTATATATATAGATATATAGATATATATCAAAATATTTTCTATTAATATATTTTCTAGGAAAATATTTGAGGATGAATTTGATAGCCTTTGGGATTAAGTTTCAGATGAGGGAAATATAAATTTTGGCTGCTTATTACATATTGTACTCATATTAATGTTAATTCAAAGATTATGAAATTCATTCTGATAAAAAATATTTAAGAACTATATATTTATGCAGTGCTTTTCTTGTTTGTAAGGTGAATGGTATTAACAGTTCTTATTTAGTTACTTCATGCTACCTATCTGTCGGAATAGCATGAAGTTGTATTAATAATTTGAGCTAATTATGGTTACGTGAAACCAGGTTATACACTAGAGAGCAAAGTGACTAAAACCCTGTATGGCTTAATGTATGCCCCCCCCCCCCCCCCCCAATTAAACCATACTAATTCATTTTTGCTTTCTTTTTTTGAACTTCACTTCTTGCTTGAATCCTTATTTATGCTGTGGCTTGAATATCTTAGGAGTGCATCATTTACTATAAAGCATTAGTATATTTAAATGTGTTGATAATTTCAGACTACTTGGGAAGTTTCATTTCTTTCCTTGAAAACATGTTGTGATGTCAGGTCTCTGTGCAGTTTTTCATCTATTTTCTTCTCACTGTCATAGTATGGTTGTAGGAATCCCCAGCCTGATTTGGGTTCAACCAGAACTATTTCCAACAACCTTTGAAGTAGAACATAAGCACACTATATACAATAATTTTATTAGATTTGATTATTTGAAGCATGCTGTATATCTAACACCCATGCACTTCCATTCTCTTGTCTCGGTCTCCTGCAGTGCTGCTCTGGATGCTTACTGCAGCATGCATCAAGACAGGTCGTCCTCAGATTGCTCGGCGAGCGATAGAAGTTGCTGAGACCCGGCTTCTGAAGGATGGCTGGCCTGAATATTATGACGGAACCCTTGGACGGTATGTGGGCAAACAAGCCAGAAAGTTTCAGACATGGTCTATAGCAGGGTATCTGGTGGCCAAGATGATGTTGGAGGACCCCTCACATTTAGGTATGATTTCTCTCGAGGAGGATAAGGCAATGAAGCCTCTCATGAAGAGATCCAGTTCATGGACTTGCTAAGCTTTTTGGGTTGAAGGGAGAAAATTTACAGTTTTAATTTTACACTATTATTTGACTAAAGCTTTTCCACATATTCCCTTTTGGGGGTTTTTCAATGAAAAGTTTTGGTCTGTAAAATATGATATTTAGCACCACTGGTCCGAATGAAAAGGTTAGCTTTTTCATTTATGCCAGAAATTTAATGGTGTTTGATGTATTAAGAAACTTGGAACTAAATGAGATTAATTGGTCTCTTCGCTAATCAGATCCTTTGTGTTGAGTAATTAGTTATTTTAAAAGGATAAAAAACGATGGATTTTTTTTCTTTGAAAATTAAGTGGTTCAGTATATTATAACGAAAAAGTCTCACAAAGTGATCAATAAATGAGCTACTTGAATAAACAGAGTTTTTTCATGTTGCTTAGCAAAAGATAAGAAAAAAGGAGACATGGAAAGCAACCTGGCAACCCGTAAAATGTAGCCTGTAGGTCACTTGTGGGCAGAGTGGTATAAATGAGCTCATATAAGAATGCTTCAAAGATGTACATAAATTAGCTCTCTCCGGTAGTTAGGATGTCAAACCCTAAAAGGATGATTATTTCTATGTTTGGATTTATCATATACAATCTTGAGGATGAGATAAAGTCTAAGAAATGATATTAATGATGTGATGTGTTTGGTTTCAATTCCATGAAAAGAGAATTGACTGGCAATGCATGGACTATTAGACAACAAATTATGGGAACGGTTTGATGGAATTGTTCTAGGAGTGTAGAGAATTATAGACCAGATGATTGGATTCATTTTTTTCCTTTATCATCTTGGAAGAGAGATGTTTAGACCTCGGAGAAAGGATGTTTTACACCCTTCGGATAGAGGATATTTCTAAATCACCAAAACATATTTAAAATAATGATTATTTATCTTAATTAAGTGTTAACTGACTAACAGAAGGAGAATTTTTACGGGGGTATGTAATTCAATGTAAGAAATAATGTAATGATTCTTTTATGTCCATGATTACAAGACTTAATTTTATGTAATAAGATATGAATCAACTACTTTTTATCAGTTAAGTATATTTGATGTTTATTATTTGAAGATACGAAGCTAAATGTTAATGCAACACTCCTCTCAAATTATAGATGGACCAATGTTGTTCATATTTTTTTTTTCTCAAAGAAGGCCAAGGAGTACGTTATGTTTAATGTAAATGGTGTTTATTTTATTTTATGAATAAAAAAAATTTAGAGCTTAATGTATAAATATCAAAAATGAAGTGAAGCACAAGCATGTAATAATATAATTGCTAAAAAATTATAACTACATTCTTGAGCACAATAAAAAAAAAATTAGTATATAAGATGACAAAAAAATATTTCATTGCATTCAACAAATTTCACTGAATTAATCTTTTATTAGACTCTCACATCTAATCATTAACATTAACAACAACACTTAACTTTAAAAGTAAAAATCATGTAAACACACAACAAGTCTAAATTAAAACTAAATGTAGTCACAAAGATAAATACTTAGCTCAAATTTCTCTCCACCAAACTCTTGAAGTTCATTTGAATCTCTTACAATACTCTCTACTAACACAATTACAACTTCTCCCTTTCTCCTCCCTAAAAGTATCCTAATTATTCTCAAAAAATGTGTCCACATTCAATGAATATTCCAAGAGTTGTCTCCTTTCAACAGATATTTGAATGTATTTTTGTGCCCATTAACCATAATCCACGTTTTCACTAAGAGTTGCATCAAACACCCCTTTAAAAATTCATCCAAATTCATTGAATTTTCAAATAACTACCTCTAGCACGTAAGTGCGAGGTCCTCGGCGCTTAGGTGCGACATTCTCTGTTTTCCTGACGCTTAAGTGCCAATTTTGGGCGCTTAGGCGCAACAGTTTTTTTGCATATCTTCTTTTTTCTTCCTAATTTGATCCTTTTTCACTCATCTTCTTCTTTTTTCTTCCTAATTTGATCCTTTTTCACATTACTACATATCTAAAGAATATCATTTTCTTTATTGGAGTGCACATTGCAGCATCTTCATGTACACTGATTTCATGAACTGAGAATGGTTGTAGTTCTTCTCTAATATAGCATTCCTATCCTTTTTGTAAATAGTTTATGCATTCATGTTGTGAAGAGGGAACCATCTTATGCTCATGAAGCCCATCTTATGCTCACGAAGTCATGGTCAACCAAGTAAGGCATTAAAAGAAGTTTTAGAGTTGATGATATGGATTAGGGTTTGTTTGGGACAGTTGTTGATTATTTATAATCTGCTGATAAGTAGATTATTCTGATAATCTGATAATCTGTAGATTATCACAATAATCCGGCTTGTTTTTTGGGGCAGTTTATTCAAAATAGTTTATTGGCAGTTATGGTTGTATAAATGACATTCCTGCCCGTCTGGTAAAATTGTTTGGGGCAACTTATTCAGAATAGCTTATTGGTAGTATAAAATCATATAGTGCAGAAACATACTATCATCACAGATCAATTCCAAAAAATGACATACAGTTCTCACACTCTGGTGAGTACCAGAAAAAATAAAAAAGGATAAAGACAAGTACAACTACAATGAGAAATATTAAAATATTTAATTTCAAACTCTGGCTACGCCTGTCCTGAGCTGAACTATCAACCTGGGAAAACATCGGATTAACCTACCGGAAAGAATCGCAACGAGCTGAAACACCCTTGGCACAACCGTAAAACTGCCTCCCAAAGCTGTGAGACTGACGCGACGTGAGCAACGGAGCTGGTAGTCCACAATAACACAAAACAACTCTGTCTATAACTGATATCCTAGAAGTCTGTTTGTATAACTGTGAAAAAAATCAAAAAAAAAATGAATGTCAGAACTTACCCCAAAAAAAATAAAATACACATAAAAATTTGATCTACATGTATACGAAGAAAAGAAAGACTTGCTGGTTTAGTTGTCATATATAGCATCTACTATAGACTCCCTCAGAGCAGTCATCTCTCATCTCAGCCACATGTCATGAACTTCAAATTCATTAAATTCATTCTCATCCTCAGGAACTGAAGGCCCGATCATGATTTCTGATGGTTCTTCATAGATAATCAGCTCTTCGTTATCAGTCATACCAAAGTCCGTATCTGAACATGAAGGGTGTCGTCATATGAAGCTATGAAGTGTCATTGTTGGCACCACAATGTGCACCTGCTTCTGAAATGGATATGACGACATATCACGTAGGATGACCTATTTCTTCTTCCAAACCCCAAACATTCTTTCAATTACCCCACGTAAAGAGAAGTGGCGTTTGTTAAACGCGTTTGTTAAACATTTCTTTAAACATTTCTTTCCTACCACGAATAGTTTCATTTGCTCGCTCAAAATAAGGAATATGATACCTAGTGTCTGGATATGGCTTCAGATAGCCCCTCTGCATAGAGTATCAAACATTAAACAAATAGTATTTTCCTATTATGGAAGATATTGTTATTTGCAATAAATACCTACAAATTTGAATTTTATAAATCAAAACATACCTAAAGGCGGATGAGGAAAACCCTGCAATCTATTCCTCGTAGCATAGGAGAAAATTCGACTATCATTTGCACTTCCTTCGCACATATGTTAAACACATGTTGAAGTCAGATATCACCATGACATTTTGAGTCATTGAGCCACTTCGACCAATGTAAGCCACCTTGTCCTGGCTGTGTATTCGGGCATCAACGTGAGTACCGTCAATTGCACCTATGCAGTTCTATCTAACAAGGTTAGAAAATATTTATATTTTGATATGAAAGTAAATAAAAGAATGATTACCTTGAAGTAAGCCATGAATGATTACCTTGAAGTAATTACCTTGAAGTAAGCCATGTAACGGGGATCGACTACGATTTGTCTTGGAGTATTAGCAAATGATGGATCCTGATTTTAGATGATTTTAGCAGCTAAGCTAACAAGTGCTTGTATGCCTTTGGAAAAATAACAGATTCTTGTCTCCGATGAATGTTGAAATCTTTCCATAGCACCCTTAATTGATTCATTTTGTGACAGAATATAAAGTGTTATAGCTAATACCTCCCTTCTCGTCATTCTCGAAGAACCTTGGAGTCCATGATTCAGGGATAACTCGTACCGGAGATCCATAAAGATCAGTAGTGTCCTTCAAAATATGTTACTGAACCTAATAGGATGTCCAGAAAGCATTTGGCTTACCCATTTATCCCCAAAAAAACTGGAGGTCATTCGGGGTATACGAAATTTACTTGACCGGTAATACTCCAACAGTAATATGGCAAAAGCTGCAGCCCATGCCATTCTCTTACGACGTTCATGTTGTGGATCCATCCTAAAGGGGGAAAGATATCGGTTAGTTCATCAATTATTAGTCAATAGAGCAAGCGAGAATAAAGGCGGAGTACTCAACAAATTAGAATAAAAAAATGAAGAGCTTGACCAAAGGAAAATATGTTGAGATTTTCATACCTCTTTTATACTGTTTTTAATGATATTGCACTTTAAAGAAAGGTATTTTTGATGTTTTGTTGCTGGAATAATAAATTAGGGTCAATGGAGCAAAAAGATGCCAAAATGAGCAAATTTAGAGCAAAAAGGACCAAAATGTGGAGAATTGCACTAGGGCGCCGACAACGCCATCGAGGCCGCCGACGACGAGCTTTTCCCAAGGCTACAGGACAAATTCTCCAGAAGGCCGCCGACGACGGGATTGACGGTTATTTGACATGTACAATGGATAAGGCCGGATTTTGGAGGGGTGCGTAAGCAACTCTTGGGAAAACTCATCCACATCTTTAAAGAGAACATTTTGGCCGAAAATAGAGAGACTTTTGGAGTCCTGGAGGTTAGAAAGGATCCATTAGTGCGTAGAAAGCTTGTTAGAGCTTATAATTGTGAGGAATTCTTCGAGAAATTGTAAGAGTGGAGGGAAAGTGAGAGATTTCTTCCTCCTTACTACTTCGAAGAGGAATTCTGTGTGTTGTAAAGAAAGGAAGAGATTCAGAGGAACTTCGAGGAGTGTTCTTGGGGAGAAATTTAGATATAAGTTATTTACTTGTTATAGTTTGTATGACTTTGATATTACATATGAATTCCAAGTTGTGTTGTGCTTTCCCCATGAATTCTGAGTAGTTTTCTATGTCTTTCTCCTTGTCTCGAGATTTGTGAAATGGTGATTTGAATTGGTAAAGCCATAAAAAAAATGTTTAAGAAATTGTGATGATATTTTTACTTTGATCT